GGAGAACTATCCTGTCGTCCCCCCCGGAGAACTATCCTGGCCTGAGAATCCCATTCTGTACAAAGCAATGATGACGTTGCGTGTTTCCTCGCAGGTTACCAACAGAGGAAGCACAATGATCCCAAGCTCCGCCCACAGAGAAAGCACAATGATCCCAAGCTCCGCCCACAGAGGAAGCACAATGATCCCAAGCTCCTGTCAGGAGGAAGCCCGACCTCCCTTGACTGATCTGGTGCAGTGACGCATGGGGGGGTCTCAGCTGCCGTTGGGATGTGCGGGGTCCCTGTGCCTTTAAGGGAGGTCGGGTTTCCTCCTGGGGAACCTGCACCCAATTTGATCTTCTGCCCCCATGTGCTCCAAGATGGCGGCTCTCATAGGTTAGAGTTAGGACCGCGCGATATGGAGGAGCCTTGGCGCGGCGGCGCGGCTGTCACATGTTCTGCAGAAGACGTGTATCTAAACCTCTGTCATTATCCTTACCGGTGAGACAAGTTTCTTTGCACGCCGGCCGGTGAGTGTGCCGGGGAAACTTTGTGCCGACATTGTTATTGGCTTCTCCGAGATGGTGAGGTGACCATTTCCACCTGCTATACAAATACCAATCCTGTGACATCCGAGGAACATCCTGCAGACCCACCAGAACGGCGCAGGGGCGAGTTCTCAGCGCCAAGTTGGGTAAAGCTTCTCCAGATCCTCTTACACCCAACAATACCAGCGCTCTGCTGGACCCACAGAATCTCACCGGCACTGGAAGAGAACTCCAGAGATTGCACATATTACGGCGACCCCCCCTATTCCAGCCACTCACGTGGTCGTTCACTGCCGATCCTCCCACCAATGACATCAGCCTCAGTTCCCTGGTCTGATCAGGACTACAACCTTCACTATACAAACCACAGACTTCCCCTTCCCAACAAATCCCTCCTATCCCATAGGAGACCCTCAAAACCAAATCTGTGGGCTGCTTCCAACTCAATGATAGTTCCGTCCAATCGTATGTGACCTTCTAGGAGGCCTATAAATCCATCGTCCAATAGAAGGAAGGCACAGCAAAGGCCTCCCGGCAGAACTCGGGTCACTTCAAACCTTCCCTGGAAGCCCCCGGAGATGGACGCGTGGAGAATTCTACACCAACGGCCAGAAATGTGGCATGATGCCGGCCAATAAGATACGTTCCTTCGTCCTCACCCGTCTAATCCAAGGACCGCCTCTCATCCGATATGTGGGAAGCCAACGAAGTATCACCCCCAATACCCAGCTAACAATACTCTAACCTGGGATACATTTGGCCCAATGTCTTCATTAAAGGAGAAGTACGAGGTCAGTGCTTCCCCCCATAGTTCTCCTCAGGGTCACGGGGTCACACAAACTAGCGTCCTCCCGTCACCCTAGGCTCAGTATATAGGGAGCTACAGCTCGCGGTATACTGAGACCGCCGCAGCCGGGACGTTACTGTCTGGATCCGCCCAGCTGCGTGAGTGACAGCTGGCTCTGCCTATCTAGAGGAGGAGCCAGCTGTACCCGCCCCCCTCCCATTCCTCCAGTCAGCGCTGGAGGATCGGAGCGGGGAATCCAGCCCCTCCCGTCACGGCTCTCTGCAGTGACAGGATCGAGAAGTGAGCGAGAGCCGGTACGTGTTCCCGATCTACTGAGCCGACCTGTGACGGCTCAGATTATGGGGCTGAGTGAAAAGCAACCCCCCCCCTCCACCCCCCATAGTTCTCCTTTAAATATTAAAGTAAAAATCCTATTCGTCATTTCTTCCCTCATCTGAAATCTGCCTCAAGCCCCCAACCCCCCTTAATCCAATCCTAACCTACAGCCTGCCTGTGCGGGCCCCAATCAAATACTCTGCCAGCCGAACCTCCCCCCTTGGCTGAAGACCTCCACCAACTAAGGCAAACGTGTGGCGGAGAACAGTCTACTCCTTACACCAGGGGTAGCCAAACTGCGGCCCTCCAGCTGTGGGGTGGAACTACAAATCCCATGAGGCATTGCAATATTCTCACAGCGACAGACATGACTCCTGGAGAGAGATGCATCATGGGATCTGTAGTTTCACCCCCACAGCTGGAGGGCCGGAGTTTGGCTACCCCCTGATTTACACGGTGTCCCAACCCGTCATCAACTTCAAGACTCACAATGTGCAATGGGGAGTGTCCTTCCGCCATGGATGGCTACGCCCCATTATTACCATCATCACCAACCGCCCCACCCCCATTCACAACTGTATTCCACTCTCCTAATGAAGTCTTCCCACCAAGGACCCTCTTCCTGCCCCTGCTGGGAACATAACCATCCCCCCCCTTCCCTGGAAGCCTGAGAAGAGTAATGGGGTCGCCCAACCCAAGAGCTCCCTGAACCCTACAAGGTCCCGGAACAGCCATACAAGGTCCCGGAACAGGCATACAAGGTCCCGGAACAGGCATACAAGGTCCCGGAACAGGCATACAAGGTCCCGGAACAGGCATACAAGGTCCCGGAACAGGCATACAAGGTCCCGGAACAGCCATACAAGGTCCCGGAACAGTCATACAAATCCTGGAACAGCCATACAAGGTCCCGGAACAGTCATACAAGGTCCCGGAACAGTCATACAAGGTCCTGTTGGTTTTCACCCCGGCAACAAAATGCATACCCCTGCTCTACACCATGATGAATCCCTCCACAAGGATCCATGGGAAGTCCTCCACCACAAACCTCTGCAGAACATTCCTCCCTGAACACTCACAACCTGTTTCCCAGACGTGGAAATCGTCCATCTTGCATACAAAGCCGACTCATCCACAAGAACTTGATGGCCAACCTACACGACACCCACGAGGACCGCCGCCTCACCCCCTCCATAGATGATGTTCTTCACTCACCTTCCCAACCTCTCATTGGGACAATTCTCCTCCCACTTACTCATTCATAAAATGGCCGCCCCCGCCCTGGTAGTCCTAACATAGTACGAGTCTGTAGGTCATCCAGCTGTGGTAACATGTCAGCTCCGTGAAGGTTTGTGTATCCAGATCCACCCCCTCCCCCCCCCGGCACATTGGTTTAGTCTGACCGGATCTTTCCGCTCATTCCGGATTTTAAGGTTTTCGTATTTAATAAAATTCAGGTAAAAGTTTTTATTACAAAGGTTTTGTCTGAGACACACACACACACACGCAGGAGTCCGTCCTTCTCCTCCATATCACACATAGAGCCTCTGTATAGGAGTCCAGAGTCACACAGCAAAGGCTTCTGGCAAGATTGGTGGCTCACAAAGCAGTCCAGGTCAGGCTGGGTCACCGATGCAGCAAGATGTCAGCCGGGGGCCCCTGAACGCGGAGGACTCTTCACACGTACAGGTCGAAGTCTACTCTCTGCGAGTTGTAGAACTGATCACCAGTGCTGTTGACCCGCCGGCAGTAGACTCCATTGGGGAAGTATCCCTGGTCCACCCATTCCTAAAAGGGGAGGGCACATGGTAATAGGTGGCCAGCACATGGCGGCCCTTTGGCTACATCACAGGCAGCGGGCCCCCCTCTTACCTGCATCTGTGGGCTGGTGAAGGGTCCGTACAGCTCGGCCTTGTCCTTGTTCTCCCATCTGTACTCCCATAGAACCTCCTCCATACCTGGCGACTCTGGAAAGAGAGCAGATATAAAGATGGCTGACCTGTGCACCACCTGCAAACCCCCTAACACTGGCCGCTTGCTGGACATTACCTTCCTTCTTCTCCAGCTTCTCCTCGTCCACCTCATCAGCAAACATGTCCAACGAGGGTGGAGCCGTGAGTCCTCGCAGTCGGTAGGCCAGCTTCTCACATGTATCCTGATACACCTCATAGACTCCAAGGGCCACCATCTGGTCAGCAAAAGAGATAAGCTGATCCAGAGGCTCCGCCTTCTTCTCCTCCGCCTCCTTCTTCTCCTCCTCTTGCTGGATGTCACTGTGATCCATCGGTGAGTTCTTCTCCCCTTCCTTCCTGTCCTCTTCTCCCTCCATTGGTGATGGAGCTTCAATGTCCTGAGATTTGTCTCGTCTGCCTCGCCGCACTCTCTGCACTCTGGATCTCTTTCCTCCTCCCCCTCCTCCTAAACGCTGGATGCCCTTCGCCACGGTTTCCCCCGGCAACAACAACTTCAAGATCTCCTCTAACAATGTCTTCATATCCAGTGGAGCCCGGCCCTCATCGGTGTCTGAACCCCCATCATCCCCCGCAGGGACAGAAGGGGATGCCGTGCGCTCCTTAACCCGAACCTGAGAGAGAGGAGAGCAGAGTGAGGACACAGAGGAGGACTGCAGGGGAGAGGGGAGGACTGCAGGATGGAGGGGAGAGAGGAGGACTGCAGGAGAGAGGAGGACTGCAGGGGAGAGGAGGACTGCAGGGGAGAGAGTACCCAGAGGAGGACTGCAGGGGAGAGGGGAGGACTGCAGGATGGAGGGGAGGACTGCAGGGGAGAGGAGGACTGCAGGATGGAGGGGGGAGAGGAGGACTGCAGGGGAGAGAGTACCCAGAGGAGGACTGCAGGGGAGAGGGGAGGACTGCAGGATGGAGGGGAGAGGAGGATTGCAGGGGAGAGAGTACCCAGAGCAGGACTGCAGGGGAGAGGGGAGGACTGCAGGATGGAGGGGAGAGGAGGACTGCAGGATTGAGGGGAGAGAGGAGGACTGCAGGGGAAAGGAGGACTGCAGGGGAGAGGAGGACTGCAGGGGAGAGAGTACCCAGAGGAGGACTGCAGGATGGAGGGGAGAGAGGAGGACTGCAGGATGGAGAGGAGAGAGGAGGACTGCAGGAGAGAGGAGAGAGGAGGGAGGGGAGAGAGGAGGACTGCAGGAGAGAAGGGAGAGGAGAGAGGAGGACTGCAGGGGAGAGAGGAGGACTGCAGGAGAGAGGGGAGAGAGGAGGGAGGGGGGAAAGGAGGGAGGGGAGAAAGGAGGGAGGGGAGAAAGGAGGGAGGGGAGAAAGGAGGGAGGGGAGAAAGGAGGGAGGGGAGAAAGGAGGGAGGGGAGAAAGGAGGGAGGGGAGAAAGGAGGGAGGGGAGAAAGGAGGGAGGGGAGAAAGGAGGGAGGGGAGAAAGGAGGGAGGGGAGAAAGGAGGGAGGGGAGAAAGGAGGGAGGGGAGAAAGGAGGGAGGGGAGAAAGGAGGGAGGGGAGAAAGGAGGGAGGGGAGAAAGGAGGGAGGGGAGAAAGGAGGGAGGGGAGAAAGGAGGGAGGGGAGAAAGGAGGGAGGGGAGAAAGGAGGGAGGGGAGAAAGGAGGGAGGGGAGAAAGGAGGGAGGGGAGAAAGGAGGGAGGGGAGAAAGGAGGGAGGGGAGAAAGGAGGGAGGGGAGAAAGGAGGGAGGGGAGAAAGGAGGGAGGGGAGAAAGGAGGGAGGGGAGAAAGGAGGGAGGGGAGAAAGGAGGGAGGGGAGAAAGGAGGGAGGGGAGAAAGGAGGGAGGGGAGAAAGGAGGGAGGGGAGAAAGGAGGGAGGGGAGAAAGGAGGGAGGGGAGAAAGGAGGGAGGGGAGAAAGGAGGGAGGGGAGAAAGGAGGGAGGGGAGAAAGGAGGGAGGGGAGAAAGGAGGGAGGGGAGAAAGGAGGGAGGGGAGAAAGGAGGGAGGGGAGAAAGGAGGGAGGGGAGAAAGGAGGGAGGGGAGAAAGGAGGGAGGGGAGAAAGGAGGGAGGGGAGAAAGGAGGGAGGGGAGAAAGGAGGGAGGGGAGAAAGGAGGGAGGGGAGAAAGGAGGGAGGGGAGAAAGGAGGGAGGGGAGAAAGGAGGGAGGGGAGAAAGGAGGGAGGGGAGAAAGGAGGGAGGGGAGAAAGGAGGGAGGGGAGAAAGGAGGGAGGGGAGAAAGGAGGGAGGGGAGAAAGGAGGGAGGGGAGAAAGGAGGGAGGGGAGAAAGGAGGGAGGGGAGAAAGGAGGGAGGGGAGAAAGGAGGGAGGGGAGAAAGGAGGGAGGGGAGAAAGGAGGGAGGGGAGAAAGGAGGGAGGGGAGAAAGGAGGGAGGGGAGAAAGGAGGGAGGGGAGAAAGGAGGGAGGGGAGAAAGGAGGGAGGGGAGAAAGGAGGGAGGGGAGAAAGGAGGGAGGGGAGAAAGGAGGGAGGGGAGAAAGGAGGGAGGGGAGAAAGGAGGGAGGGGAGAAAGGAGGGAGGGGAGAAAGGAGGGAGGGGAGAAAGGAGGGAGGGGAGAAAGGAGGGAGGGGAGAAAGGAGGGAGGGGAGAAAGGAGGGAGGGGAGAAAGGAGGGAGGGGAGAAAGGAGGGAGGGGAGAAAGGAGGGAGGGGAGAAAGGAGGGAGGGGAGAAAGGAGGGAGGGGAGAAAGGAGGGAGGGGAGAAAGGAGGGAGGGGAGAAAGGAGGGAGGGGAGAAAGGAGGGAGGGGAGAAAGGAGGGAGGGGAGAAAGGAGGGAGGGGAGAAAGGAGGGAGGGGAGAAAGGAGGGAGGGGAGAAAGGAGGGAGGGGAGAAAGGAGGGAGGGGAGAAAGGAGGGAGGGGAGAAAGGAGGGAGGGGAGAAAGGAGGGAGGGGAGAAAGGAGGGAGGGGAGAAAGGAGGGAGGGGAGAAAGGAGGGAGGGGAGAAAGGAGGGAGGGGAGAAAGGAGGGAGGGGAGAAAGGAGGGAGGGGAGAAAGGAGGGAGGGGAGAAAGGAGGGAGGGGAGAAAGGAGGGAGGGGAGAAAGGAGGGAGGGGAGAAAGGAGGGAGGGGAGAAAGGAGGGAGGGGAGAAAGGAGGGAGGGGAGAAAGGAGGGAGGGGAGAAAGGAGGGAGGGGAGAAAGGAGGGAGGGGAGAAAGGAGGGAGGGGAGAAAGGAGGGAGGGGAGAAAGGAGGGAGGGGAGAAAGGAGGGAGGGGAGAAAGGAGGGAGGGGAGAAAGGAGGGAGGGGAGAAAGGAGGGAGGGGAGAAAGGAGGGAGGGGAGAAAGGAGGGAGGGGAGAAAGGAGGGAGGGGAGAAAGGAGGGAGGGGAGAAAGGAGGGAGGGGAGAAAGGAGGGAGGGGAGAAAGGAGGGAGGGGAGAAAGGAGGGAGGGGAGAAAGGAGGGAGGGGAGAAAGGAGGGAGGGGAGAAAGGAGGGAGGGGAGAAAGGAGGGAGGGGAGAAAGGAGGGAGGGGAGAAAGGAGGGAGGGGAGAAAGGAGGGAGGGGAGAAAGGAGGGAGGGGAGAAAGGAGGGAGGGGAGAAAGGAGGGAGGGGAGAAAGGAGGGAGGGGAGAAAGGAGGGAGGGGAGAAAGGAGGGAGGGGAGAAAGGAGGGAGGGGAGAAAGGAGGGAGGGGAGAAAGGAGGGAGGGGAGAAAGGAGGGAGGGGAGAAAGGAGGGAGGGGAGAAAGGAGGGAGGGGAGAAAGGAGGGAGGGGAGAAAGGAGGGAGGGGAGAAAGGAGGGAGGGGAGAAAGGAGGGAGGGGAGAAAGGAGGGAGGGGAGAAAGGAGGGAGGGGAGAAAGGAGGGAGGGGAGAAAGGAGGGAGGGGAGAAAGGAGGGAGGGGAGAAAGGAGGGAGGGGAGAAAGGAGGGAGGGGAGAAAGGAGGGAGGGGAGAAAGGAGGGAGGGGAGAAAGGAGGGAGGGGAGAAAGGAGGGAGGGGAGAAAGGAGGGAGGGGAGAAAGGAGGGAGGGGAGAAAGGAGGGAGGGGAGAAAGGAGGGAGGGGAGAAAGGAGGGAGGGGAGAAAGGAGGGAGGGGAGAAAGGAGGGAGGGGAGAAAGGAGGGAGGGGAGAAAGGAGGGAGGGGAGAAAGGAGGGAGGGGAGAAAGGAGGGAGGGGAGAAAGGAGGGAGGGGAGAAAGGAGGGAGGGGAGAAAGGAGGGAGGGGAGAAAGGAGGGAGGGGAGAAAGGAGGGAGGGGAGAAAGGAGGGAGGGGAGAAAGGAGGGAGGGGAGAAAGGAGGGAGGGGAGAAAGGAGGGAGGGGAGAAAGGAGGGAGGGGAGAAAGGAGGGAGGGGAGAAAGGAGGGAGGGGAGAAAGGAGGGAGGGGAGAAAGGAGGGAGGGGAGAAAGGAGGGAGGGGAGAAAGGAGGGAGGGGAGAAAGGAGGGAGGGGAGAAAGGAGGGAGGGGAGAAAGGAGGGAGGGGAGAAAGGAGGGAGGGGAGAAAGGAGGGAGGGGAGAAAGGAGGGAGGGGAGAAAGGAGGGAGGGGAGAAAGGAGGGAGGGGAGAAAGGAGGGAGGGGAGAAAGGAGGGAGGGGAGAAAGGAGGGAGGGGAGAAAGGAGGGAGGGGAGAAAGGAGGGAGGGGAGAAAGGAGGGAGGGGAGAAAGGAGGGAGGGGAGAAAGGAGGGAGGGGAGAAAGGAGGGAGGGGAGAAAGGAGGGAGGGGAGAAAGGAGGGAGGGGAGAAAGGAGGGAGGGGAGAAAGGAGGGAGGGGAGAAAGGAGGGAGGGGAGAAAGGAGGGAGGGGAGAAAGGAGGGAGGGGAGAAAGGAGGGAGGGGAGAAAGGAGGGAGGGGAGAAAGGAGGGAGGGGAGAAAGGAGGGAGGGGAGAAAGGAGGGAGGGGAGAAAGGAGGGAGGGGAGAAAGGAGGGAGGGGAGAAAGGAGGGAGGGGAGAAAGGAGGGAGGGGAGAAAGGAGGGAGGGGAGAAAGGAGGGAGGGGAGAAAGGAGGGAGGGGAGAAAGGAGGGAGGGGAGAAAGGAGGGAGGGGAGAAAGGAGGGAGGGGAGAAAGGAGGGAGGGGAGAAAGGAGGGAGGGGAGAAAGGAGGGAGGGGAGAAAGGAGGGAGGGGAGAAAGGAGGGAGGGGAGAAAGGAGGGAGGGGAGAAAGGAGGGAGGGGAGAAAGGAGGGAGGGGAGAAAGGAGGGAGGGGAGAAAGGAGGGAGGGGAGAAAGGAGGGAGGGGAGAAAGGAGGGAGGGGAGAAAGGAGGGAGGGGAGAAAGGAGGGAGGGGAGAAAGGAGGGAGGGGAGAGAGGAGGACTGCCGGGTGGAGGACTGCAGGATGGGGGTGGAGGACACAGAGGAGGACTGCAGGATGGAGGGGAGAGGGCTGTATTGGGGGGAGGGTTAATGGGCAGGGCAGCAGGTGGACCCGCCCACTCACCCAGTCAATGTTATCCAGCCAATGGTCTCGAATCTGGGCCTCCTTATTCAGGAAGTAGTTCCCCTCAGAGTCGAAGTGCCCCTCCTCCATCTCTTCGTTCAGGTTGAAGGGTGTGATCTGCACTCCCCCCTCTGAATCCAGGGTGGCGTTCTCCTGACCTGCAATACAAAGAGACCTCCGCCATATACATCTACCTCATACTGTCGCCGTGCAGCAGCTGGAGAACAGAGACCACATAAAAACCCCTCCCTCTGAGCCGTCATGGCGGCGGTGACATTTACCTTCCACGTCCTCCGGGGCCAACATGTTGTATTTGTCTGAACCTCCGGTGACGTCGTCTCCATCATCTTCCTCATCACTGTCCAGAGAATGCTTCTCCTTAAATCGACTGCCGGGACCCCCCACCGTCTCCGGGAACTGCAACACGAGACTGTCAGAGACCTTCCCCCTCGTACTATACACACATACAGGGCTATCCAGTATAGGGGAAGGCAGAGAAGTGAACCATCCAGGACACCGTAGCTGAGCTGGGATCTGAATGGGGGACGTTTTCCAGATCAGCTACTTTGGCCTAGAACGTTCACTTCTTTAAACTCTTCACTCTAATAATGGAAGCCCCTCCCCCACATATCTATATACACACGGTATTAGCCTCTCACCGTCCTCTTAGCGGCGCTCCGCCCTTCCTCGGTCTCCACCTCCTCCTCCTGGAAAGTCACTCTCCTCTTCATCTTCTCCCGGTTTCCTCCGTTCCTCGGTGCTCGTCTCACACTGATGACGTCACTTTTAATGGAAGGGGCGCGGCTTCTGCACGCTCCTTCTGTAGTGTACGCAAGGCAGCGCGATGACGTCAGGTACGGATATGGTCAGAAACGTCAAGTGGCAAAACAGACAGCGCTGATTGGTTGGCCGCTGGAATGTGCTTCAAGCAAGTGACAGAATAATGGAAACCCCTCAGTGCCGTGTAAAGGCCATCCTCTGTGTGTATGTGTGAGCCCAGAGCAGTGTCATGGTGATCCCCGGGTGTATGAATAAGACAGGTTGTCATTTAAATCCTGGGCTCAATAGGGAACTGCCAGCAGGGTGTTACAATAGTGATGTATGGGGGCGGGACCCAGCAAGGTGGTCACGTGACCCATCCCCCCATACCATTATATACCTGACCCCATGACTGTTCCCCTCCCCCATACCATTATATACCTGACCCCATAGACTTTACATATTACTCCCATCATCCCATAGACTTTACATATCACTCCCATCATCCAATAGACTTTACATACCACTCCCATCATCCCATAGACTTTACATACCACTCCCATCATCCCATAGACTTTACATATCACTCCCATCATCCCATAGACTTTACATACCACTCCCATCATCCCATAGACTTTACATACCACTCCCATCATCCCATAGACTTTACATATCACTCCCATCATCCCATAGACTTTACATATCACTCCCATCATCCCATAGACTTTACATACCACTCCCATCATCCCATAGACTTTACATACCACTCCCATCATCCCATAGACTTCTACATATCACTCCCATCATCCCATAGACTTTACATATCACTCCATCATCCCATAGACTTTACATACCACTCCCATCATCCCATAGACTTTACATATCACTCCATCATCCCATAGACTTTACATATCACTCCCATCATCCCATAGACTTTACATACCACTCCCATCATCTCATAGACTTCTCTTATAGATATCACTCCCATCATCCCATAGACTTCTACATATCATTCCCATCATCCCATAGACTTTACATATCACTCCCATCATCTCGTAGACCTCTCTTATAGATATCACTCCCATCATCTCATAGACCTCTCTTATAGATATCACTCCCATCATCTCATAAACTTATCTTATAAACATAACTCCCATACATATCACTCCCATCATCCCATAGACTTTACATATCACTCCCATCATCCCATAGACTTTACATATCACTCCCATCATCCCATAGACTTCACATATCACTCCCATCATCTCATAGACTTCTCTTATAGATATCACTCCCATCATCTCATAGACTTTACATATCACTCCCATCATCTCGTAGACCTCTCTTATAGATATCACTCCCATCATCTCATAGACCTCTCTTATAGATATCACTCCCATCATCTCATAGACTTCTCTTATAGATATCACTCCCATCATCTCATAGACTTCTACATATCACTCCCATCATCCCATAGACTTTACATATCACTCCCATCATCTCATAGACTTCTCTTATAGATATCACTCCCATCATCTCATAGACTTTACATATCACTCCCATCATCTCGTAGACCTCTCTTATAGATATCACTCCCATCATCTCATAGACTTCTCTTATAGATATCACTCCCATCATCTCAGACTTCTACATATCACTCCCATCATCCCATAGACTTTACATATCACTCCCATCATCCCATAGACTTTACATATCACTCCCATCATCCCATAGACTTTACATATCACTCCCATCATCTCATAGACTTCTCTTATATATATATCACTCCCATCATCTCCAATACAGTTGAGTGATATTAAGATGATCATGTGATCAGGTGATTGGCTGTCCGGTGACTCCATGGACTGGGCGGAGCCAATTGTTTTGGGGAAACGAGAGAACAGCGTCTGTGACTTCTGCTTTTCCTGAGACTGAAAGACACCGAGCAGCCTGACACTGGACTACGACTCCCAGAGTGCACTGCTGCCCCAGGTGAGGGACACACCCTCACCTGCAAGACACCGTCTGCCACTGCTACAGGAAGTGAGATACAAGACACTGCTGATCACAGAGACCGCCGATCAGAGCGAGAGCAGAGACCGCCGATCAGAGAGAGCAGAGACCGCCGATCAGAGAGAGCAGAGACCGCCGATCAGAGAGAGCAGAGACCAGACAGGAGACTGCTGCTGCCCCAGGTGTGCTGACCAGGTAAGTGCTCTAACACACCTCCATCTACAGGGGCCAACCTGCTGCTTGTAGAGAGGAGAGACTGTTGGAGATAACAGAGAGGAGAGACTGTCAGAGATTACAGAGAGGAGAGACTGTCAGAGATCACAGAGCGGAGAGACTGTCAGAGATCACAGAGAGGAGAGACTGTCAGAGATCACAGAGAGGAGAGACTGTCAGAGATCACAGAGAGGAGAGACTGTCAGAGATCATAGAGAGGAGAGACTGTCAGAGATCATAGAGAGGAGAGACTGTCAGAGATCATAGAGAGGAGAGACTGTCAAAGATCACAGAGAGGAGAGACTGTCAGAGATCATAGAGAGGAGAGACTGTCAGAGATCACAGAGAGGTCCAGTATCTCTGTGTGATGCTATGTACGGTGAGGGGGAGGTCCTCCAGGGTCAGAGGTCAGGCGTGGGCAGTCCAGTATCTCTCTGTACGGTGAGGGGGAGGTCCTCCATGGGCAGAGGGCAGGCGTCTCAGTCATACGTGTTGTCTCTTTCAGGGGCCCCCATGAAGCTGGACAGCAGTTCCCGGTTGGCGTGTTCCCCGGCACAGAAGGAAGGCTACTTGCTGAAGAGAGGCAGCCGCCACGCCTCCTACCACCGCCGCTGGTTCCTGCTGTGTGGAAACCTTCTCTTGTACTGGGAGCGCCAGGGAGACCCCCAACCTCTCGGCCTCATCCTCTTAGAGGGGAGCTCCATCACCCTGAGGAACGCCAGACTGGAATACGCCTTCTCCATCTGCTCCGTGTCTCGCGTGTACAAAATGGCGGCCGAGAGCCAGCGGGACCTGGAGCTGTGGGTGCGGGCCCTACTCAGTGCCAACCTCGGCTACACCCGGGCTCTCCTCGGGGAGCTGCGCGGCCAGTATCTGAGCCTCGCGCCAAACCAAACCGCACAGACTGGAGACCCCGCCCCCGAGGAGCCGGAATGGGAGGCGGAGTTTGGGCTCCTTCACGATTGGTTGGGGAAGGAGATCCAATCCCTGAGAGACACCAACCTCATTGACTTATCGTGACCTGCGTGTGACGTGTCAGTGAGAAATAAAGTGGTTCTGTGATGTCATTTCCTGGAGCCATCACTGGGGGAGGGGCAATATTAAAGAGAACGTGTCCTCATAGTTCCCACAGAATGGTTCTCATTACTCCTGTGGCCCTTCAATGATACCAGGCTGGGGGGGTGGTGCTGCCAGAGTCATCTCTATCCTGCGGTCACAGCAGAGGAACTCCCCGGGGGAGGCATCTCTCTGCACAAAGTTGGCCGAGGTGGCTTTGGGGTG